CCCTCCCTTTCAATTTGTCCTCTTCATTCCTACCTCCCCTTGTGTATTACTGGTAAATACAGATGAATGTGCATCATTAAGAGAACAGACAAAGTATAAGCTGAAGACCTGAAGAAAAATGAACAGGAGTATACCTCCCCTTTTGCTCTGCCTGCTTTCATAATGTGCAAAAATGTCGTTAAGGCACACGGGAGTGTGTGCAGCTGGCGCTCAACCATCATGAATGTGGCCAGCCTTGTACGTGAGAGGCACAGTAAGAGGGGGAGCTGCGAGAACTGGGAGGGCTCCCAAAGATAGCTGAGGTAAACATAATCAACAAGTGTGTCACATATTTTGGGTTGGCTCATCTCAAGTGTGTCGCACTGCTTGTATAAGGGTAAGATTCCTATGATTTTGGATAGATATTACACACACACACACACACACACACACACACACACACACACACACACAAAAACAGAGAGGGCAATTGGAATGCATGATTTGTGGTTTGCTTTATTCATGCCGACCGTAATTAAGCCGTATGCATGATCAGATTCCGTTCTCAAATTTCACTAAGATTGTGCACATGCATCAAGTTGCTCGAACTACACAACTACGGGGCGTTCTTCGGTTACCAGAGGTTGCAGAATTACATCGGCGGCCTGCTCTGGCCAAAGAAATGTGTATCTGGAAGAAGATGGTCCTGCCCATTCGTGTCCAGTTCTGTAACTTAACAGAAGTGGCACTCAGCATAACACCCAATATGCCGCCTCGAAACCCTAGTGTGTCCTTGTCAACAAGCATTTCCGTGCTGTACAGACACTGTTGACAGTCGTGTAGCCACAGTGGACTACTCTATTATACCAGACACACATCTGCGGGCCCTCTTCATTAGCCACAGACTGCTCTATTATACCAGATACACATCTGCGGGTCCTCTTCATTAAAGGTAAGTACCTCCTCGATGCCGACACCGCAGATGTGATAAAAGCACTGAAATTTGGTCTGGACAAGTATGTTGCTAAGTTCATAGCAACCATGAGATCGACACATAACAATGACCCAATGATTGCCGATAATCTTGCTCAGCTACGCAGATGGCGCACAACAATCATTTCAAGATGCCAACGAAATCTGTCTAGAGCCTCGTGCCAAGTACCTACTCAGGCTGTCTCACGAATAGCCAATACATCTTTGAAGCAGCTACAGCAGCACTTCGCCATTGTACCTATTGATAAAACATCACGCAATATGGCAATTTGCTGTAAATGCTGGTACACATATAAGTTGTCACACCATCTTGACAGTTCCACCTATGATCAAGCATCGTGTCCGCAGCCAGCATCCCCGATTGGCACGCGCTGTTCAATGATCACTGGGGCTATTTACATACTGATACCCTACCTTACCTCTATCTTGCTCTCAAAGCACATAATCGCGACCCGCTCTTCGACCAATTCTTGGAGTTACACAACGAACCAATCTTTTCCAATCTGTCCCCCGTTCAACGTCCCGTCGACCCTCTGTCACAGACCTGCATAAGAGGGCCGCTTACTGAGCTATGCCCTTCAAGGTGTGTTCAAATCGTTAGCGCAGCAAGGACAGTGAGCTTTACCGAGAAAGCGGTGTGCGATGTTGGTGGATCGAACAAAGTGCCGAGGAAGTTGGATCTCAAGAAGAATGCAAAGTTCCTCCGAGGTTCTACGGCACACACAGCGGACGTTACAACGATGTACACGAACCTGCCACACGACCGGGTACTTAATAATGTCCCAAATGTTGTTCGTGAAGCACATGACTATGCTTTGACGCTGATCCCACAGAGCGAAAGGCCAAGAGAAATGTACATGACTGTAGGAGGGCCTCATCGCGGGGACGCTGATCCCACATGGCAAAAGACCAAAAGAAATGTACATGACTGTAGGAGGGCCTCACTGCGGGGAATAGGTTACTTCACATAGCACAGACACTCTTTTAGCACAACAAATTCAACAACATCTGCGGTTTGTAGTCTCAAATACTTATCTGTATACAACGGATGGCACTCTCCTCCATCAAGTGGTCGGTATCCCTATGGGCAGTAATGGTGGTCCAAAAATTGCTGACCTTACGCTCTATTGGGATGAAGCAGAGTTCACCGATGAACTTTGTCAGCAAGACCTGCGTGCGGAGCAAGCATATGCATTCACATATCGGTTCATTGATGACATTCTGTCCTGGCATACATTCTCACCCCCTCCTACTCGGTACAGGCTCGAGTGGACAGACACTGCGGAGCAAGATGGCTCATGTCTTTTCCTTGGGGCAAGAATCCAAGTGTGGTCAGATGGCTCGCTTCGCATAGGTGTATTTGATAAGGCTGAGGCTTGGACATTCCCTGCCATACGTTATACTAGTGCATCCTCCAATGCCCCAACTCATCAGCTTGCAGGTGTACTTATAGGACAACTAACGAGGTTCGAACATATTTGTTATTGTTGTTGAACCACTAGTACCTTTGGCACGTGGGAAAATAGCGGGCCTCCGGTGGGCCTCGGACCTTTTCGGAGGCCGAAACGAAACGACGGCCGCCGATCAGATTTATCAATGGCAGCCGTTGTCGGGCCCGGCCTCCGAAACTTTAGGAGTTTGGGAAAACGTCCACTTTTGCCTATTTTCCCACGCGCCAAAGGTACTAGTGCTCTAAACCACCAGTACTTGGCCCAGCTATTGAAGCCGAGCCTGAATATTCCCTGCACACCGATTTTTGTCGAGCCTGCCAGGGGCGGGAACGAACGTGGGACATTTGATGATTGGCACATGTACCGCCCTTATTCTGGACCTGCTGCCAGCAGCTGGAATGTAAAGCGGCTATAGTTTTCTTGTTTCCACTCATGTACATGAAAATGGCCTGGGAAGAAGTGCATCCAGATCCATCTGGAAAGATCTCGTTGAATGCTCCCCGCCTCTGGCGAGTAGCAGAAGCACAAACAGCTGAGAATGTTGAAAAGGAAAAAAAAAACAAAAAAAAGCAAAGGGGAAAAAAGGTACCAAGCTCTGAACGTGATTGCCCTCGGATACATCCGCTGCTGCAGCGAAGTGCAGCCAGATACATTCTGGAAAGTGCTACGTCACAGTGAAGCCCTGGAATTGAAACGGTTGGCACACATTGAATGCTCCCCGTCTCTCACGGGGAGCAGAAGCACAGACAGCCGAGATACTGCTTCCAAAAAAAAAAACAAAAAAAAAACAAAGGGCAAAAGAGATCAAGCTCTGAACGTGATTGCCCTCAGATTCATCCACTGTGCCCACAAGTCCAGCCGGATACATTATAAAAAGTGCTAATGTTACAGGGCTGGCGGGCACTCATGAAAAACCATTTTTCTTCCAAAAAAAAAAAAAAAGAAAGAAAAGCAACGATCTTTTTTTGTTTTTTCTTCTCGTGTTGCAGTTCCTTTTCTTTTCTGTTTTCCCCCTCATCGCCTTCAGCCTCCGAACGTTTCCACAGCACCAGGACATCTTACAGTCTTGTGGAAACGTTCGGAGGCTGAAGGCGACGAGGGGGGAAACAGAAAAGAAAAGAAACTGCAACACGAGAAGAAAAAAAAAACAGATAGTTGCTTTTCTTTCTTTTTTTTTTTTTTTGGAAGAAAACTGGTTTTTCATGAGTGCCCGCCAGCCCTGTAACATTAGCACTTTTTAGAATGTATCCGGCTGTACTTGTGGGCACAGTGGATGAATCTGAGGGCAATCACGTTCAGAGCTTGGTATCTCTTTTGCCCTTCGGGGACGAGATTAAGGCTATCATATTCAAAGTTATCATACGCCTGCTGCTTGCAAATGACGTACCATGGCAGCACCTGGCGGGCATTCAATTGTTGCACCTCGCCCCCCCCTCCCATCAGGACCACCCGGCTCACCCCCTGCAATGGTTAACAAATCCGGATTGGTCAGTGCCGGGGCCACCGCGCCATAGGAGGGACGGATCGGCCAGAAATGAGGTTAGATGGGATATCAAACACGACCCCCTCTGGACATCTATAATACACTTATGGAGACTGATGGGACCAACAAAGAAAGACCCCCCCCTTAGGTGGCATGAGATATGGAGGCAGCCACTGTTCGGGAAACCCTCAGGTGCGTGATGAATCAGATAAACCCTTCTCTCTAAAAACTGATTCGCACTGGCTCACATGGGTGAAGAAGGGTATATATGTGGTGGGAGATCTTTGGGACAGCCAACGGGGAACATGGAAATCCCATCAACAACTAAGGCACAACCTCAAGAACATCAAGCACGGCATACTCAAACTACAAAAGCTACAAGCAGCAGTGCCGCCTCAGTGGATTGACACCCTTCAAGACGGTCCGATTTGCCGTAGTCTAGATTGGGTCACGCATAACAGCCATAATCCCATCCCTATGACAATCTATAGAATAAGCCATATAACCAACGATAAAGCACAACTACAAGCCTTCCAACCAGATGTGCCAGGGGCAAGGTGGGCAGCACTCAAAAAAGACCCAGTCCACAACTGCACGAAACCGGTGGAAGAACTCATGAGAATTAGGGTGGTGGGATCAGACGACACGGGCTACTTTGCCTACTAAATGGCCTCCCCGGTTTGTGCCCTCCCCTTTGATCCGGAGGAGTGGGAATGGAGCGGCCGCAAACCGTTCCAGTTTGGCAATATACAGTAAAAGATGGGTACAAGCAAGCTCATCCCATTCAAATCTCCACACCAATAGTGCAGAATCGATGGAAAAGAGACTCCCCGGTAAAGGACTCTAACCTGCATGGCATCCCCCGAGAAACATATGCACACATCTTGTCGACATCCCACAGGGCCCTGCAGTGGCAAATCTTGCACCGCTGCCTCCCAACCCCGGAATGGGTAACTTCTCGCTCCTCCTTGGAACAAGCAGGAGTACTGTCCCCCATTTGCGCCCACTGCGGAGACAATACACAACGAAGTTGGGCAGACCTGGAGCACTACCTGCTAGCATGCCCAATGGCCAAACGTGTGTGGCAATGGTGGGATGCTCTATGGCATGCTCTGACAGGCACAATATTCCACTGGGATGTCGGGCTCATTCTGTTGGGACGGCAGAAATCGGTCCCATCAACATGGACACGGTTCCAACGTAAATTCTTCAAACACATGAGACTTGCCGTACTCATGGTGATATGGAGGATGAGGTGCTCAGCAGAAAGGAAAGATATTGCCTTCACATTCCACCAGGCAGAAGCAGAACTAGTGGAAGTGATAAGGGCAAACATCCTGAAAGCCAACCAAAAACTTACCAAGGATTTGGCCAACATGCCCAACCAAAAGATGAGAGAACAGGTCATCAAATCATTCAGAGACCAATGGCTAGACCCCCATTGCAGATTAGCAGACGTCCATGACAATGGAAAAGTACAGTGGAAAAACTGGGCGGCAGAGGATAACACGTGGACCTATAGGAAAATGGAATGTTTCCACACCTCGCTACCGGGACAACAGACCACGACGCTGACAGTCCTCATTCCGACTGATGGCCAACCTTCCCAGGTGCAGAATGTTGCACACTCACCCCCTCCTCCCTCCTCACCCTCCTCTCCTTGCCTGCCGTCCCAGGTGCAGAATGTTGCACGCTCTCCCCCTCCTCCCTCCTCACCCGGCTCCCCTCACCCGGCTCCCCTCACCCGGCTCCCCTCACCCACCGTCGCAGCCTCCGCCAGAAACGCCACCTGCTCACCCCCCCCGCTCTACCGCAGCTGTCTCTTATACACATCTAGATGTGTATAAGAGACAGCGGCGCTGACAGTCCTCATTCCGACTGCTGGGCAACCTTCCCAGGTGCAGAATGCTGCACCAACCCCCCCTCCTTCTCCCTCCTCACCCGACTCCCCTCACCCACC